CATCAGAGCCAAACCTCCAGTCAGCAGCTTCACCTGGTTCAAGAAGAGCAGAGATGGAGCTGTGAAAGTATCTGAAGGAGAGATTTACAGCTTCAATGTAACAGATGGAGGAGTTTATTACTGTGTGGCCACTAATGATCTGGGTAATCAGACATCAGGAGAGATTCATGTGACTGTTGGAGGTATTTCCAATTTTTCCTTTTTTCCTAACTTTGAAATGTCACTTCAATTGGAGATCGTTCCCATTCTGCATCATCTGTAAACTTTCAATTATATCTTGATGTAGGGAAGTAACAATAAAAGCGGAAAAAAGAAAAAGAATAATATAATTTAAAAAACATAAAAACTGGTAACAAAGTAAGGGTAAGTCAAAATGCTAAATTATCACTATTCTAAAATAAGCAGAAGCACCTGCGGGAGTGAAGAGAAAGCAGGACACAGCCACATCACATCATAGTGGATTCACCTCAGAGGGCCTTAATTAATGTGAAATGTTTGTTTTTCTCTTATTTCATGTTTCCTCTCCTCTAAAATCGTGTTGCATTGTAGATGATCTGTTTGGTGTCTACACTGTCTTCATTACGCTAGTGAAGACTGTGGGAATCATACTGCTTTTGAGCACACTGATCATCTTTGAGTGGTGAGTCAGCTGCTTTTATGATAGTCATTTAAAACAATTTACAGGCTAACTGATTTAATTTCACTTTTACATTCATTCTATTAAATAGATGTTTATCATTAAACACTAAGAAAAAAAATAACAACTGCTTCTCTTTTTAATTTCTTTCTGTTTTTTCTTCAGCTGGTTTAGACCAGGACGCTTCAACACACCAGAGACAGAAAGCGTTCATCTGAACAGAGCGGCATCACAATCTAATAATTAATGTGTCTGCAAAAAGAGGACACACATCTTGGAGATCAGCAGTGTTAAGATCTGCATGCTGACACAAACATCTGTATAGTACTCAAGTAATGTTAACATGTGTTTAAGTTAACTAACATTTTAGGATGGAAATCTATGACTGGACTTAAAATCTGCTGATAGCAGATATAAAATAATCACTATCTGAAGCTTTTATAAACAATCAGCTGTCTGCTCTACAAAAACCACACTGTAGTGTTACTGTGAATTTTTTGTGCTGAAGGCACCACTCCACATATGATGAAAGATAAAGTGTCTGTTTGTGGCTGATTTACTTCACTGGTGAAGAAGAACTGATGAGTTAAAAACAGAACCTTACTGAGAAATTAGATCAGCGGGAAGCTGCAGACACAGTTTCTATCAGATCTGTGAGTACAGACATGAAGCCTTTTGCAACAACATTTCTTAATCATGTGGTTGGTGACTCTGTGTATTCATTCATTCTTTGTGTTCATGTTTTAAGATAGTATTTATGAAGTTAGTGCAGACAAGAAAATGTCTGCATGTAGGCCATTTCTTTGGATGTCAGGACCGAATTTCCCATTGTAACAAGTTGATCAGTGTCATTGTTGTGTCTGACTGGTCGTTCTAAATAAAGTTATTATATACATAATACAGCTCTTGTTGAATCAGCAGATCAATCAATAGAATGATATAACCATCAACACTCCAGTTACATTATTATACAAACACAGATACTTTGTTTACACAATTGGAGAACAGGTTTGCATTGTTTCTTCTAGTAATTTATTCATGGAATTGTTTCATTTTTTTTGTTTTCATAACAAAATGAGTTTTGTGACAGTCCAATCTGTGAACTTCATAACAAATATGTTACTGAGTCTCCTCTTTTTTGCAAGCCTCATTTCAGTCATTCACTGTCTGACAGATCAGTGCAGACAGAGACACTTTACAAAGACACATTTACACTGAACCTGTTGACACTAATGAGGAAAGGAGAAGCAAATAACACGTCTCTGTTGAAATACATTTATTCAAACATTCATCATAGATTCTCAGGAGGTTTCTCTCCATGTAAACATTTACCTTTAAATTTATTATTATTTATTATTATATCAAAGATTATTATTATACATAAGAGCCATCTTATTAATGAACATTGATGAGCGCTGGTGTTTTAGATGCTAGAATGATGTTTTCTTTCACTCACCGTCTTACTAATGGCTCTGACACTATGGTGTTCATGCTGTGTGTGTGTGTGTGTGTGTGTGTGTGTGTG